CCCCAAAACCCCAAAACCCCAAAACCCCTTTTTGCCTATGGAATGTTGAATAGCATAAAAGTTAATAAATTACTATGGTTTGGGTTTAAATCTCATTCTCAATGATCCGTCTAGCACTCATCCTCTTTGTTTCATACGCTCTTCTTCTTACTCCTTGATTTTGATGCTGATTCAGTGCTGTCCTTCAGTTTTCAGAAGTCTCTGCACTGTCTGTCATTAGGGCAGATGAAGAGGCCTCAGCTTTTCTTTATGTCTTTGATGTGTTCTTTATTATAATACCAGCTGTCCTACCTATCAAAATGCCCGTTACCAATTATTTTAAAGGAGGATTAAGCTCTTCATACAATAAAAATTCTTATCCAAAATGGAGCATATTAACCCAGAACCTAGCATTATTACTTATATTCCCATGGGGGTTTGTTCACAATTTCGACTAATGAGATTTATTCTAACCTACTTTCTGCAAGACATTCCGCCCATCGAACATATATCTAATGAAGAATGAGTAAATTCCTTATAAAATTAATACTTTATATTTAAAAATGTTCATTACTCTTACTACAGTCATGAGGTACCAATCCTCCTAAGTGACATTTAAGAAACGACAAAATGCAAGTTAAGTTCTCATATCATTTTACTGCTCGATCAATAAGTCTGACAAACTATGATTCATTAATGCACTTTCTCAGCCAATACGCTTACATTTTTGGTCGTAATTAATTGAGGCTCTAACAAAACCTGACCGAATACATACGATATTTTCTTCAGGAAATTCTGATAGGTCATTTCCACCTGTTATTCAGAGAATCAGGTTTGACAAATATGCTGCTTAATGGAAGAAAATGTCAATAATTGATAGGATTATTTCTAGAGGATAAAAGAATTTTTAGATGAAATAATCTCCATTTTAATGGAAAGATCTTAGTATTTTACTAACCATCTTCGTATTGTATTAAACCAGACAACTTGTATATTCCCGCTTCGCCAATGTTGTTCTCTTTGAAATCAACAGTGTTAGTATTTTAGACGATTCAACTGAACTTTCTACGAAATGCTGGTTGTTAATAGCATTCTTTCCCTCGCAAAATGCTTATTCAGGCCAGGTCTCAAAAGTCTTTGTCGTGATTTCTATCTTCTTCCTATTATCCTTAGTATTTGGCATCGTCAATGTGGGTGCAGACTCCGTAGCTGTGACCTTTGCAGTCTTCCCATGTCTTTCGAAGATATCTCAATCAGCATGAATCAGGATTAATTTCTCTTTATTTTATTCCTACCAGGATTCATACTTAAAGATACTTTGGCAAATGTTGATATCTTTGTTTTGATATCTTTAGTCTAATTTTCTTAGTATCTAGCTCCATTTACTATAGCTTTCATACCTCTGAATACAACACTGGAGGTGTCAATATTGGATCGTTCATAATCAAACTTGTCAGCCTTCATTTCTATTTCTTTATACCTGTTCATTATCATAACCCAATCTTCTCCTTGCCTAGTCATGTAATTAATTTGTGAATTCTTAGCAGAAGCTAGACTCCTCATCTCCTTGAATTTTTCCTTCATTATTGCCAAATAACTGTAAGTTGCAGCCTGGATGTCACTATGATCGACTAATTGTTTTCTTTTATTAAAGCCTCTCCCCTTTTTACTCAATATTGACTCGGGGTCTTCTTACTTTCCATGCCACTTAGAGCAAATTTATGCCATTTTTATTTTGAATTTAAAGATTATATGCATTTCAATATAATCGCTAAATGACGGGGTTTTGGGGTTTTGGGGTTTTGGGG